GTTATGGTCCTTGAAGGTGAGAATTCCCTCCGATGATCACTCCAGGTCTTTGACGTTGGTGTTTCGCTCTATTTTTGTGGCCAGAAATTTGTTTGTACTCTGATGTAGATTTTTAATTTCCTCATGTTAACCTTATCTGGAGTAATTGAAAATTTCTCATCGTTGAACTCATATTGTTTTTCTGCACACAAACTTACAAGTGGCAGGGCACACACACTTACAAGTGCAGGGCACACAACACTTACAAGTGGGCAGGGCACACAGCACTTACAAGTGGCAGGGCACACACACACTTACAAGTGCGGGGCACCACAACACTTACAAGGGGCGGGGCACACAACACTTACAAGTGTGGCGGGGGCACGCAACACTTTACAAGTGGCAGGGGCACACAACATTACAAAGTGGCGGGGCACACAACACTCTACAAAGTGGCGGGGTACACAACACTTACAAGTGGCGGGGCCACAACACTTACAAGTGGATCCGCTGAAGAACACAACACTTACAAGTGGCGAGGGCATCAACACTTACAAGTGGCGGGGCACACAACACTTACAAGTTGGCGGGGCACACAACACTTACAAGTGGCGGGGCACACAACACTTACTAGTGGCGGCGGCACAAAACATACAAGTGGCGGGGCACACAACAATTACAAGTGGCGGGGCACACAACACTTACAAGTGGCAGGGCACACAACATTACAAGTGGCGGGGAACCACAACACTTACAAGTGGCGGGGCACACAACACTTACAAGTGGACGGGCCAGCAACACAACACTTTACAAGTGGCGGGGCACATCAACACTTTACAAGTGGCAGGGCACCACCAACAAGGTTTATAAATTATTTATCAATGTTCTTAACAAACAATTCTTTGCTGTGACTGATACGACAAAAATTGCTTGCAAAAATAATGGTAGACAAGTCTGCGAAAAGATTAAAGGAAATGAGACACTGCTGGCATACGAAAAAAAAAAAAGGTACACATAGGAATAAATGGATAATTTAGTATACTGGGGTGAATATCCTCACTGCAGGAAAACTACAATGGACAAATACTGGAGAATATACTGATGCTGACTGAAAAAAGACACAAGATAAATAAAAAAAAATTGAATTACTTCACGCTGGAGTGGACTCTGACTAGGTACATATGGGAAAATTTTATAGGGTGAATACCTTTACTGTACCTCAACGTTACATGCCTTACTAGTAAACTCATTGGGAGACAACATATTGTTTACCGTAGATCGAAAAGACTGGACCGAACCTCCGCATGATCAGATAATGATCTATGTCAAGTAGGCAACAGCGGCACTTATCCGCTCCATGGAATATTACCCCATATCCAAAACTACCAT